CCAGAAGGAAAGTAATAGAAATATCCTTACCCTAGGGAACTGAGTCTTGTCTATGCCAGGTATTTGCTAATGTTGTGAAGCCATCTGCAAATTCAAATTCTCAGGAAGTATACAAGACATATTCTTCCTGTTTAAATATAAAAACTCAACTTTTCAAGGGCTAAAACAATCTTTATTTATTTGTTTTTAATATATGAAATTTATTGTCAAATTGGTTTCCATACAACACCCAGTGCTCATCCCAAAAGATGCCCTCTTCAGTACCCATCACCTACCCTCCCCTCCCTTCCACCCCCCATCAACCCTCAGTTTGTAAAACAATCTTTAAATCGACTGTTGACTGAGGTTTCAAGGCTGGAAGCTTCAACAAAGACTGATGTGTCCAGTGAACAGGAAAAACAATTCAGGCAAGTATTAGTTTGACTTGTAGCTAGCATTCACCATTTCAGACCAAAAGTTATGTTTTCATGTCTTAAGGACAAATAGGATAAAAATCAGTTAATACATCAGGGGTTGACATTCAAGGTCTTTGATCATTTTCAACAAATATTTCCAACCAGCCTCTGCTGGGTAGGTTGAGGCATAGCCCCAGAGTGATGCCTTCTGTCCCTCTGGCTCTCAGAGGACATAGGTGAAACCTACCACTGGAAAGATTTCCGTGGTTCCACTAGCTTTTTGAACTAGACATGATTCCAGTCTAGTCCAGTCTATGCCAGTCTAAGCTTCCATAACCTGGGAAGAAACGTTGTTGCCTGGGAATTCTTCTACTTTGTCCGGACGGACGAAGGTTGTGTGGACAGGGTGGAGCTGTCCGAAAGAGTAAAATTCCTTTGTGTTACTGGTTAATTGGAAGTTCTAACTTTTGGGTCCCTTCTTCATCCCCTCCCTCTTCTCCCTTGTCGTTTGCAATTATATATAGGAGATCTGAAGGGTTCTCTCTCGTTCTTAACCTCAGTTGCCTTAGGAGAATGTAAAAATCTCTTTGGGAGAGAAACGGTGAGAGCAGGATAAAATTGGAAGGGTCCCCTCCCTTGACCTGCCTTGCCCCAGTTCCCTCACTCTCCCTGCTCTTCCCCTTCTCCTCCCAGCAATGCTGGGTTAGTTGTGAGTCCATCCGATCTGCGGTGCAGGCCCCACGCCTCCTTTTAAGCCAGACTGACGCCTGCATTTGCTAAGAACTAGTATGTACTAGCTGCAGTTTAATACGGCCTCCTCAGCCAGGGCACCTCAGTACTTGTCCGGTGGCTATGGGCCTGTCTAGCCCAGCAGTGCTACCTGATGCACTCCTCCTCCTTGCCGCTCCGCAGATACAAAGGCTCCGTGGAAGCAGCGTTAACACTCTGAGTTAGGATGCTCCTCGATGGTAACAGCAAATTACTACTCTCAGGGGGCACTTGGGGGCAGTTTTGGTCTTTGAGACATCAGTTGCTCCGTATTTGTCTCCACCCAATAGAAAGCAGAAAGAGCCTGTGCGCAGGAGGATTTGGCAAGGTTGGGGTGCAACTGCAGGGCTGAGCAGTTTGAGAGCCCAATCCTCAGCTTCTAGTTACTCCCCTTCCTCAGTGTTCCTGGAATCCCTTGGTTCAAGGGCCTAGGGCCAAAACTTTCGAGAATAGGAAAGCTTCTTTGCTCAAAGGACGCCAAACTGGCTTAATCAGAGATGGACAGTGGCAGCAGAAAGATCCGTGGAACCATCCTGTCCCGGGCTTGATTTCCCCCAGGCATCTGTGGGTTGGGCTGGGCAGTTCTTTAGATTTTGATGAGCAACAGTTGGATTTTGGAAGCTTGATTTTCCTGAGGTCAGTGACCAAGAATCTTAAAATGAATTCTCTGCTTAATTTTTCACTTTCTTGAATGGGTTCAGGTCTCAAGGCCGTTAATTTTGGAGTGCTGAGCCTGAGTTCCGTGCTGAGTTAGGTCCTGAGTGCCTAAGCTGAGCAGAGTGAAAGCGGCCAAGCCCTTGTAAACCAGGGCACAGTTCAGATTCTTGCGGACCACAGAGCCAGTACTTCCATCACCCTCCCCACAAAGTTAATGGTGTTTGTGGTTTTCCCTTTGATAGGCCATGAAGTCAACAATCTCCCCACATGGTGGCTCCCTTTACTAAAGTTGAGTAGTGAATTTGTACAAGGAGTCTTGGAAATTTTCAAATATTTCTACAGATTGAACTCATTTCAGAATTCGTGTGGGAGGGAAGAGTAAGGATTTTAATCAGATTCACCTTTGACGCGAAGCAAGACGGAAGACAGGGAAGTCACAGTCGGTAATAGCTTTGGGCGCTTTGGTAAAAAAGACGTCTCTGCTTCATTATCTGGTTGTGTTCCCCGCGGACTCTTTGTGTGCGAATTTACTCCAGAGGCAGAGCTGAACATGGAACACATGCATGTAAACACTCCAGCATAAATAGGCGAACATATGCAGTGGAGACAAAGAGATACATCCCCACGTTCATAGCTTTTTTGCAGGCAGGCAATCTGGAACATCCCCAGAAATAAACTAAGAAGAAGCAGTAGCTTCTGGCTATTCATGGCCAAGAATAAGTAAAACTTAGTCTTCTTGAAGGAAATATTAAATCTTAAATAAGTAGGAAAGGCATTCAAAATGAGAAGTATTATAATTTTGTCTTTGAAAAATCATGCAGAGCTAATATAGCTTATTTTAATGTTAGCTCCAAATTATAATAGGAAATATTCCCACTAAATTGCCATTTCCTCTAAATTTTGTTTAAGATCCAAATAATTAAAATGCACACTAATGGTTATTGATGAGTCTATTTCCTTTGAGCCATAAAAAGAAATAGACCTGATTTTCTCTTACTGGAGTAGAAATTTAGGAATCTTCTTAAATTGCTCAAGGGCTTGAAAGCCTCCATGTGGCTCTAGTCTTCCCTTATTGCTTTCCTCTTTCCACGTCATTTTCAGCTAAAAAAAATTTAACGGTTCCCAGTGGAGGGATTCCCGTTAGAAACCCTCAGCTAGTGAACTTGTACTGGGAATCCTCGTACTTTCCCAGTCTGTCTGTATTTCTCCAAACAGAACTTAAGTTGTAAATAAGAAGAGAAAATATTTCTCACTCCCAAATTCTTAAAATTTCAATTTTTGTGGAAAATACAATTTCTCAATTCTAATGTTTAAAATAAGTAAGTCACAGAAAGTGTGAAGGTGTCCAAGTAGGCTGTCTAGAGATCTAAAAGCCAGGACTAACAGGAAACAGAATGCTCTTTACTCAAATGTAGTCAGGGTCTGACTATTCTCAGCATTAAGAGCAATCATGGACACTGATGGAAGGGGGCATATCTGAACAGCGGGGAGACTTGGAAAATGAATTGCCACATTAATAGTATCAGTGCCAAATCTTCAGATTTAGAGGCTCTGGTGAAAAATTAAACCAATGGCAATTTTCAACGTTTCAATGACCAGAGTTCAGCACTCAGAGCTTGGACAGCTCCGCAGGCCGCGCTCCGGACACCGCTTTGACTCTAATCAATTTACTCCAAGCCAGACTGTTAACGACAGCCAGACTCATTAGCGATTTACTGAAAATCCTCCAAGACTTCCCTTTAAAAACAAAACGACTTCCACATTTAATTGTCTATCTAAAAGAACATACGCAAGAAATTAGGAGATCTAAATTAAATTTATTAATAGGAGAGCTTGAGGGTGCTTAATTCTAGACGCCAGATTGCTGATTGCTGAGGTTTGATGAAAAGTAAAGAGAAATCATAGAGACATAATTAAAAACATGACTTTTACCATCCTCGAAATTGTATGAATTCTTTACCCATCCTTGAGAAATGGGCAAAATTGAACAACATCAAAATAATTGCACTTCTTAAAAACTGGATTGTATCAGTGAAAGGTGTTTATGAGAAGTCGATGACTCCGGATCTTATCATCCAAGAGGACAGCACAAAATTGTTAATATGTTCCTTGAGGGACTAGGATGCTGACGTCTTTTTCTGATACCCGATCATTACGTGACTGGAAAAAAAAAAAAAAAAGGAAGTCATTCCATGAATAAAAATCGGAGCGCAACAGTGCAACAAAATATTCTGTACTTAAAGGCCATAGGCAGACAGATGTTGACAAGGAAGCCTCTTCTAAAACCACATTCAGATAGATTTCTGCTAACTGCACATATAAATAGGAGCAGAGGGCTGGTCACCTCAGTAACCACCGGCAGCAGCAGCAGAAGCCGCAGCTTCAGACGCAGCCAGAGGGACCTCAGAGTAGAGAAGGCGCTGCCGACTTGCACAACTGCCTGACCAGGCGGTTCCGACGGACGCCGGCTGAGACGCGGCTCTCCCTCTTCCTTCCTCCCCTTCGATTTTCCCTCTTTTCCTTAATCACTTACTTCTTTCTCCTGGTGGACTTAGGCCACTTTGTCCCCCACCCCCCACCTTAGCTCCTCGCCTCCTCTTTCTCCCTTCTACATCTCTCTCCTCGCCCCCTTCTCTCCCTGTCACGCTTCCTCCTAGTTCCGTGCGTCTGCAAACTTTTGAACAGAATACTGGCCTCAGCAAACAAGTCCTCCAGCTCCTCCTGCTGCTGCTGCTCATTCCTGCGGCTCCTCAGACACTAACGCCAGACGGTGATGCCTCTTGGGTTGTGACTCCAGCGCAGAAACTTGGAGGAGCCCTTTGCCCGCCGTCCTACTTGGCAACAAAGCCTCTCCTAGCAGCGGTAAGAGTTGAATGGTGAGGGGAAAATATCTTCCCTAATCAAATGACTCCTTTGCTGATTCTTTGACCAGCATCAGGGTATGAGTTAGCTTTCCTTCGCACCAGGTCTGGCGAGTTATTGGGCCCCGGGAATATACATACATATTTTTTCTAACTATAGAGAGAGGGAAGTGGCAGGGCGCGCGCGGGCTGTCATTAAGCGGTATTCAACCCTGGGAGCCGACCCCTCCCCCAGCTCGGGGAGTTTCTTGGGGCTGGAGGGCGAAAAGACCAGGGGCTGTTTTGACAGCTGTGTGTCCTCTTTCCCCTCCTGAGCAGAATGACCATGTGTAGCGGAGCGAGGCTGGCCCTCCTGGTCTACGGGATAATAATGCACAGCAGCGTCTACTGCTCACCTGCCACCGCAGGACTCCGGTTCCCTGGAATCAGGTAGGTGCTTGCTGCCCGGGCTGAGCTGAGGCTTGGCTTCCCCCAACACTTCCTCGTGGTCTCCCTCCTGCAGTTCCGCGGTCCCAGCTACAATCATCTTCCCACCGGCTCCCAGTGCGCCGCCGCTGTCAGCCCGGGTCGGACCGCAGGTCCCTGGCCGTGGCCCTGGCTCGGCGCGAGGGCCGGGCAGGCTCCAGTGCGGCTCCGCGCCCCTCCCCCAGACCGCCGCAGCCAAGGGGCCCGGGTTGAGCAAGGGAGCATCAGCCGGCTGGAGAAATCTCCCCTCCCCCAGCCCCGCCTGCGGGAGGGGGCAGGGCCGGGCCCCGAGCTTGACTTCTATTCCCTATTCTTAGCTTGAGTTAGGAGAAGTTCTGCTTTGGTGCCTGCAGCCAGGTTGCAGGGTAGAGCGTGAAGCTCCCGTGGACTTTGCTTTGTTACAGCGTGTTCTGGACTATCGGGGCGGGGTCTCCCTCTCTCTCCTCTGATATCCCTTTCACTTCAATTCGAGTTCTTTCCCCTGGAACAGCTTTCTCTTAAGTGATACGTTTTCCAGCTGCAATATGAGTCTCAGACTATCTTGGGGAGGGAGAGTGTTGGCCGGGTATGGTTGAGGAAAAGCGATTTGAGAGAAGAAAGAACAAGAATGAGTCTGAAAGGAAGGGGGGAGAAACGGATGAAACGGATGCAAGGAAAGAGGAAGAGAAAGCCGGCAGGCAGGCAGGACCTGGACAACTTTGCCCGCCAGAGGCTGGAGTAACCGTGGCTTTCTTCTTAACCCCTGATTTCTAATCGGTTGACACTGATGAGTTCCTTACGCAGCCCCAAAGTCCCGGGGCGGTCAGCGGACCGTAGTAGCTCCCAGCGTCCTCGCCGCGCGGTGTACGCGGCTCCTTGCAGCCAGGAGCGCGCCTTCTGCCTGCAAAGCTGCTTCTCCGAGCCGCGCCCAAGAACGGTCGCCTTAGGGGCCACTGACCACTGATTTGGCCGGAGAAATGGGTTCTGGCTTCAATATAAGGATTCCAGCATTTGGGCACGGGATGGAAGTGGCCAGAAAGACCCGGGGACCCTGGGAAGCTGGGCCATATAGAGGAGGCACGTCGCCGAGGAAGGGCTGGGTGCGGGGCGGACGGAGACTTGTGCTTGCCTTGTCTTCACCAATCCGGGGACGGAGGAAAAGCGAGCAGATTAACGAAGTACGACTCTTACCCCTACTAGAGAGCGCTACTTGCTCTGGCCGCGTTCCGGGTCTTTGCAGCGGCTCAAAGGGAGGGGGTTATATATTTTAGCCCACCTCTCCCCGTCCTACATGAAGGACAGAGGTAGTAGGGAAGGGCGACTTCAAGACCGCGGCACTCCAGTTGGCTCTTGGTCCCCTATTGACCCTTTCCCTTACCGCCGCCTCAACATCGCCAACAGATTCGCGCGAACTATTTATTTAGTAGACTTAAAAGCCCCATTTCACTCCCAGCAATTTTCAAAGTCCCGTGTGCCTGGCACTTTCCCTGGGCGCGAGGCACCAGAACGCGTGGCCATGCCACACAGAATGAGCCGCCGCCAAACCGGCTAAGTTTAGGGGCATCTATTATTCATGTTCCTGCCAAATCCTCTCCCGCCCAAAATAGAAGCCGGAGGTTCTCCGTGACCTACATCTGCGCGGGTAAGGGCTCCCCTGGGCTCAGAGGCTAGGTGGGGGTGGCGGCGGAGTTGGCCGCCGCACACCCCACCCATCCACCCTCCCTCTGTATATCGCTCCGGGCCTCCCCAGTCGGGTCTTCGCGTCGGCCAGCGTCTTGTCTCTGAGGACCTTCCTCGTCCCCGCCCGTGGCTGCTTGTTTGGGGTGGCTCAGGCGCCAGGTCCCCGTAGGGGGGCAGGTCCTTTTTGGTGGCCAGGTGTACGAGGTTGGCATAGACATCTCGACTTCCCAGGCCCTGCAGGGCGACTCTTCACCCACAAAGAGGAGGGGTCGGAGAGCCGCCTGGAGGGGTGAGGAATTTCTGTTGGGTGTACTTTCTAAAGCCTTACCTCAACCGCCCTCCTCTCCCCCTCCCGACCCTCCCCTGTCCCGGAAGAAGAGGCAATTATCCGTGGGGACCTTTAGGAAGAAGGAAAGTCAGTGCGAGCCCCTTTCTGTGGGTCGTTGCGGAGCCGGGGAGGGATCTGTACTGACACTCCTTCTTTCCCCGGCTCTCCCGGCAGGCCGGAGGACGAAGCGTACGACGAGGACGGAAACCCGCAGCAGGACTTCTACGACTCAGACCCGCCGGGCGTGGGGAGCCCCGCCTCCGCGCTGCGCGACGCCTACGCGCTCTACTACCCCTCGGAGAAGAGGTACCACCCGCGCGGCCTCCGCGCGGGGCCCGGGACTGAGGTGGCGGGAGGGGCAGGGTGGTGGCCCACAGAATAGGGTGTTCTTCATAAAAACCCCCAAGCCTCTCTTCTTCCTGGCTGGTACCCGCGAGAGCGACGGAAAGTTAGTAGCGGGCCGGTCTGTATGGACCAGAGAGACGGGTGGGACCAAAAGGTCTGTGGCCTAAGGAGTGGCCGTGAGTGCGCGCCCGGGCCAGACTCCCTGCCTGCCAGCCCCGGAGGGCAGGGCGAACTCCCGTTCTCCGCTGTCAGTCGCGGGAACTTCCCCAAAGAGTCATTTGCAAGTTCTGTGCCAGCGTCTTGTTTGTCATCAAGGGGGTTGTCGTCAGCCTCCCCGAGTGCCGGGGCGCGTGCGTGCCCAGCTGGGGGCCTGGGGCGGCCACTTGGGGGCACACGATCAGTGACCCTGGGCGCGTACTTTGCCTCCCCGTTAGAGATGTCGCCCAAGGGATCCTTAACAAGGCCTACCGCAAAGTACTGGACCAGCTGTCCGCCAGGAAATACCTGCAGACGCTCTTGGCCAAGGGCTTGGGGTAAGAGTTTGCGAAAGAGTTAAGCGGCGCAGAACGGCGCGCGCGCTCCGGGGTGGGTGTCCGTGCGAGCGCGCGCGGGGTGGGCGGTGCCGCTTCTGCGTCCTTGCGTGCACGTGGGCCCGAAGGTGCGTGTGCGCCGCTGAGTCTTCGGGACCAGTCCGCGGTCGCAGGGTAGGTTCGGATGTGGCACCTTAAGTTTGGTGAACAAATTCTGAGCGGCAGAGGCAAGGAGAGGGCGGAGAAACCGGGGAGTTTGATCCGTTTTGAATTTAAAAAACAAAGAAAAACTACCCCCTCCCTCCCGCAAGTCATTGAAAATCTTCAAGCTTCGCGGGATGATTTGCTATAATTTCCTCTAAGCATGACTTAAAAAAAAATCCTTTTAGTGTAAATTCAAATCGAAACCAACAAATCTTCAAATTTGGGCAGTTAGGGAAACAGTTCTTTTGCGCGTGCCAGACAAACCCAGAGCACAGAGCTTGCGTAGAGCATCTCTCAGCAGAAGGCAACATTTTAATAAAGCCCATGGGGAAACAGATTACATTTTTCGCAATGAATAATTCATGCGATGAAAAATATTGCCTACAGCCTGTCGACTTATATTATTATCATCACGTTTTTCGACTTAGCGTGCGGAAGGGGAGGCGTGCTCCAGTCTGACTAGGAATTGAGGGATCGATGTAAAACTCCCAGGCAGCAGCCAACGTGGCACTTGGGGCTCTTTGGTTATTTTCTCTCTACGTGGGGGGTGAGAGGAACAGTTAGGACAATTTAGCGCAAAAGCACGGATGGTCAAATCTCTAAGGGCAGCGTTTGGAGACAGGTTAGGCGTGAATCGCGCGCGTGCCCTTGGCCTGGACCTCGTCCCGGGCCCCTTCTGTAAGGACGTGATGCCGGCAAATCCTCGGTGGGGAGGGCGGAGTGAGGGGTTTCCATCACAGTCTTCCCTCCCCCGTCTGCTTACTGGCAGAGGAAGGCGGCGCCGTGGGCCCTGAGAGCCGTACCTTCCCGGATGGCTCCCGCGTGGGGTGGGGCCCGCCTGCTCCCCACAGCTATTGAATCTTTGTCTCCCGCCCCGCTACCCTCTTCCCGACTCCTTTCCTTGCAGTGGGAACCTAGGCGGCGGCCCGGAGGACGACTCAGAGCCTCTCTCCAAGCGCCACTCAGACGGAATCTTCACCGACAGCTACAGCCGCTACCGGAAACAAATGGCTGTCAAGAAATACTTGGCGGCAGTCCTAGGGAAAAGGTATAAACAAAGGGTTAAAAACAAAGGACGCCGAATAGCTTATTTGTAGCGATGAGTTACCAGCTACCCTGTGTATACAATCCTGACACTATGAAAAGTCACTTTCCCAACTGACTGAACAGTCATCTCTCATGTGTTCTATCCAAACATGTATTTATGTATGAAGTAAAGCCATTAAATGAATATTTTGATAATAATATTGTTTTTCTTTTTACAAAGCACTAGAGAATGCACAGATATACTTTGTGGACCAATTATTGATATATATATATTACAAATATATATATTAAGAATATATATAGGTATAATAGACAGCAGTTCATACAAAGTGTGCACAAGGATTGAAAATTCGCCTGAGCTGTTTATGTTTTTATATAAAATAAATAGAAAAATAGACAATCATTGTTTTGAATATTACTCCTATTTTTATAAAATGGAATTAAAAGGATAGTATTTTTATCCATGACAGGCCTGAAGATATTAATACTGACCATTTGCTACTGTACATAATGATGCCCTGCTCCAGGGAGATTTGGAGGTAATGATTTGGGAGAATTGCTGAAGGGTGTTCTTTCCTAGTGAGTCTCTGGGCCAGGCTGCTTCAGTCCCAGAGGAACTCAACTAGGCACTGTCCCCCTTTGTCCCCCTCACTGGGTGGCAATTCCAATACTTCTGCTTTCTTTGGTTCTACTTTTATGTGTATTTGTCTCTCTTTAGACTCTCAGCCCAGAAGGAAATTCTCCTGATAAAAAACAACAGCTCGATCCAAATTGTGCTTCTCCCCAGAATTCACACCACCCCCTGGGGGAAGTGTTGGGGGGTTGTACAGAGAAGGGAGACTTGGGTCTTGAAGCTCCCGTGAAGCTCCCTTTTCTGTACTTCCAGGAAACCCAATATCCCAAGGTTAGGGCAATTGGAACAAAGAGAAGGAAATGTAGGTATGTTGGAAGAGGCAGAGCATAAGGCAGTCGGAGGAGGAGGACCCTGGAGAGGGACTGGTTTGGAGCTGCCCTGCGTCTGGGACGCGGAGGGTAAGCCCAGCCCCACTGTAGGTCCTCTGCCTGACTGACTTTGGGCGCTGGATATTGGAAATGGATGCAAAGTACAATGTGTTTTTCTCCAGTGCTGTCAATGCTTCTCATCTTGTGAAATGACCAGGATACTCCCCTTTGAATACGGCTCTGTAGGAGCCATCCTTTTCTTTGGCGGTTTTCTGAAGACTCTTCTTTCCCACCCTTCTGCACTGTTGAAGTACCGTTTACCATTTTTCATTCATTTCTCTTAAACTTGTGAATGCTTCTTTTTTTGTTGTTTGATGTGAGTACTTAATTGTAAAGTTTAGGAACCCCTGTGTAGTTACCAGTAAGTAATTATGCACTAAATATGAACGAACCTTTTGTTTCTTGTTTATTGAGTTTGTAGGTAAAATGTATTTTTCTACATTATGGCTTATTGCTTAGTAAAATTTATTTCATAAAACCAACCTTTGTCATATTAGAATGTGTAGTGTTCACATGTTGCTCAGTTTTACTAACTGATAAATCATTTAAACCTCATCTTCATATGTATGAGTACTATCTTATATTTGTGGTCAAGAGTGAAGTAAGCAAGCTCCAACAGACCCTGAGAACCTCCCCCTTTGTATCCTTTCCTGGCTACTGAAAGCATGTCTGTCTGTTTCCTATCATTTCCTTGAACATGTGAGTAATCTCTATAAACAAAAGAACCTTCACCCAGCAGCCAGATCAAGCTACAGCAGGCAAACAAGCCAAACTCCCAAAATTCAGGCACAAATTCTTTTGGAAAATAAAAAAAGAGAACATGAAAAGATTAAACATTAGCTTGTAAAGTTTAAAGGACCTTTCCTTTTCCTTTATGGATTTGATTCAATATGAAGTCATAAATCAAAGAAAACAGAATTGGATTTGCATTCCCAGGTGGGATGGATGCTGCCAGGAGATCACATTGCAAGCAGTGAAAGCACAGAGGCATTCGATCTATGCCCGAGTCCTATGTATGGGATCAATCTTTCTTTAATTCTGCAGTCTCCTCAGGCAATGTGACACGGGATGCAGTTTGCAGCTTTAGTGCCTTTCTTCGCCTTTTAAATCGCCACGAATCACAGATGGCTATTTAGTGGCCCTACAATGCTGCAACACATCGGCTTGCATTTTAGTCTTAATTATTTGTTTCTTGGATAATGGGCAGAGTTTTCTGTATTTGTGTCAGCTGTTAGTGGTGAAATAGGGCTCTAGTTAACCTTTTATTTATGAAGTCTAATTTAGTGTTCCCGTGGCTAGTTGCAAGCATTTACAGTGATCACCCAGTTTAATCTTTTGTATACTTTTTAGAAATGCCAAGAGCCTTACTAACCTGGAGCAGATTTATGATATAGTGATAATTTAGGTAGATGTTAGTCTTGAAGCTCTTATTTTGTGTGCAACTGATTATAAAAACATCTTAACCAAGTATTATTACACACATGATATCTATAACTAGGACTTTGATAACTGTTATATAAAGTGTGTAAAATTTGTATGAATAAATTTTTGTAAACAATGCAACCTCGTCTAATGTTTGGAGAGAAAAAGACATTCAGGAAATAACTAAGATCTCTTAAAGTATTATATTTTCTTTAGCAACCATAAGATCTTTCATGTTTGGAATATATAAGCATCCATGTATTTTCATAAATTGTACTTTAATATCTGCTTCATGTGTTAACTGAATTCAGCTAAAAATTTAGAGTAGCTACTCAGATGGAGATGCCTAAGAAGATATTAAGTTCATAAATAGGCACAGATGTTGGTACCCTTATAGGATGCACAATTTAGGTTAATTTCCATCCCCTATTGTATATATGCATTGCTCAGTATTCAGAAAGTTACTACCCACTGGTGGGAGATAGTACTTGGGTATTAGTTATGCTTCTAAAATAGCAGTCTAACATATTCTTTTATAAGTAACTCTGCAGACTAAATTGGTCTTGATAAAATTCTTTATAAAAATGACTTCATCAGTTTTGGAGGTTTTAAAATATGTTTAGAGATCTACAAACAACTATCTCTGATTAAATTGCTTTGGGTGGAAGCAAAGAGAACATGAGCAAGCAAAGAGTTGATTAAATACCTTTAAAAGACAATGTATTTTATCTTTAAAGAAAAAGCTAGGAGAAAATGTGAACAGTCATTTGGGCATTCTTTTGTTTTATTAATTGATATTAACAAACTTTAAAGCAAAGCCTTTTTGTGAAATTCCCATGAATTTCTCAATTGTGTTTATTTTGGAGCCCAGGATGATTTCTGGGTTAAAAAAAGTATTGCAAGTCACTTATAGTAATTCAAATATAATTTAATTTAAATTCCTAGACTTTCATCCTAAAATTAATGCTTTCAATTAATAAATCAATAAATATGTCACAGTAATACTAAAGAATGAGCAAAGCTCAGCAAGGATTCAAAAACTATCTTTAGAACTTAGCTCAGTATTTAAGGCCCAGCCAGAGTCATTCTAGGGAGGAGCTTATGATCTAGAGATCTCATTTGTAGTAAATTAAAAAAATGAATACAGTACAATTCATAATTACGTTGTTTTATTGAATAAGCTTTTAGTTCTTAATCTTTAACTGCCTACCCCATGAAGCTGCTAGTGTGGTAAATGGAAAAATGAAGAAAATTAATTACTTTGGTTGGAGGCTGATAACTGTCAAGAAAATAGAGATAACCACAGATTGGCTGACTTGGACTGAAATTCATGTATATAGCAATTTGCTATATTCTCTTATGTGGGATAAATCAAATGATGGTTTTTCCTTGGAAGACTTGATATATCTAGATACCCAAGAAGTGTGACTTATTTCTGTTAGGGCTGAGAATACATTGATTCAATACAATAAATATTTATTGAACACCTAAAATGGACCAGGCACAATGGTTGAGAAAGCTTAATTAACACCTGAGAGCTAAGGTAGTATTTTTCCAAAGAATATTCTTCTGCTACAAGATCATGTGGGAGACTTGTTAATAATGTAGATAGATTGCAGGCCTCCACCAGAATAAGTGAATCTGTGTTTTAAATAAAAATCCTAGGTTAATGGGCACTAAAGTTTGCAACCACTAGATTTAGAATTTGGTGACATAGATAGGCATTTATGTGTGCTGGGACTGGGTGTTTTTTTCTTTTTCATGTTAAATAAGCAATAAGTCATGTTTTCTGTACACAGTAATAAATATATCAATAAGCTGTATTCTCCCAGGATGGGCATTAGGTTAATTGAAAAATTGCAGTATTTCCTTTAGGTCACTAAGGCCATAGTTAGCATCATTTTACTTCTATATTCTGGTTGGACATTTCTGTTCAAGGGGCTTCTGGAAGAAGAGTGATCCTATAAGTAGAGTACAAACAATTGAATCACATGACAGAGGGATGAATGAAATCACTGAAAGGAACTGTGCAGCCAGTTGGCAGTAATTCCGTGGATCTAGAAGTCAACTTCCAATTGCATCATATCCAAATTTGGCTTGAATATGTCCCCACAACTGTTTACAAGAGGATTTCAGTTGGATGCCCTGCTATGACCTCAGACTCAACCCTACTGTTCACACTGTCATAAGATGGGAACCAAGATCAAGTCTGAGCTCTTCTCTTTCACTGTAACCCTTCTTGATGAAGGGAGATGCCTGCCCCTCTTGCTGCTTCCCAGTGGTTTGTAACTGGTCAGCCCACTGTGGTCATTCTTACTGTTCCCCAACTACAAGCCATCTGTTTTAGAAGGACAGATTCATATCCATCTTTGAAATGCTATTGCTCCTTTTCATCTCCCAACCATCCCTCTATGCCCCAATGTCTTTTCTCTGTTACCCGATCTAAATATTCTGGAAGGTCCAACTCATGCCCTCTTTTTCTAGAGATCTTCCTCAGCCTGTCAGAGTGACTATAGCTTCATTCCTCCCATTTCACCCTCACACTGTTGTCCCGTGACCCTTACCCTCTGTAGTACTACTTCTGATCTCTAATTTCACACTGCTTTGCCCTGTTTCTTAACTGTTT